GTCTGCTGAACAAAACATAAAAGGCGTCCCTTTCACAACATGTAATGTTTCCGACGAGAACACGTGAAGGACAAAGGACAAGCTGCCTTGATCTGGTTTTTACGAAACCACCAGACAGCATGGACGAGACCACGTCCATGCCGCCTCTTGGCCGAAGTGATCACGTAATGGTTATGTGGGATTATTCGTTATTCTCCATTTCGCATTCTTCAGACCAAAAAGATAGAATGTTTGTCGAGGCGAATTAAATCAGATGAAGGCAGACTTATCCGGTCTCGACTGGGGCTCACTGTTTACGGGAAATGCCAACGATGATAGGGAGCTGTTCAAGAATGTCCTTCTGCAGCTTATCAACAACCACTGCCCACTGACTAGTGAAAGACTGAACAAGCGCCCTGGGTGGCTAAATAGTAACCTCAAGAAAGAACTCAACAGGAAGCACAAATTGTGGATAAAATACTGCGTCACTGGGCAAGTTGAATATTTTAACACCTACAGAACACAGAGGAACAAACTGAGGAACCTGATCATGAAGACACGACGGAAATTCGAGAAGAACCTGCTACAAAAGGCAACGCAGAACCCAAAATTGCTCTACAGTTACCTCCGACGAAGTACAAAAAAACAGGCATCAAATCCCATTAATAAAGACTACTGGTGGCGTTGAGATTGCTGATAGTAGGGATAAAGATGCGCATTTTTCACAGTTTTTCCAATCAGTCTACACAAACGAGACAAGGTTCCTTCCTCCCTCCACAGAAGAACTGTCGACCCCAAGTGTCAGTGATATACTCTTCTCAGAAGGCATTGTACGAAAAGAATTAGAAGCATTGAACGAATCGAAGTCGCCAGGACCAGACGAGATTCCATCCAAGCTTCTGAAGGAACTTGCCAGTGAGCTCTCTGTGCCTTTGTCGATGCTCTTTCAAACGTCATTTGACACTGGAACACTTCCTATCGATTGGAAGCTAGCGCATATTACTCCGCTACACAAAGGACGTAACAGGGCAGCGACGACAAACTACAGACCGATAAGCTTGACATGCATTCTCTGCAAAGTTATGGAAAGAATCATAAAGAGCGAACTGATGCAAGTTCTGGAAGTCAACGGCCTGCTATCGAACTGCCAACATGGGTTCCGGAAAGGAAGATCCTGCACGACAAACTTGCTGCAATCTCTCCAGAGCTGGACCCGAGATCTCAACGAGAGGCACGCGGTCCACATAGCCTTCATCGACTTCCAGAAAGCGTTCGACACTGTGTCACACCAGAGGCTCTTACATAAACTTTAAAAAATAGGGATCAGTGGCAACTTCCTTTTACGGATTGAAAACTTCCTTTGGGGTCGACACCAGGTTGTCTGCATCGGTCGGGGAAAATCAGACCCTGCTATGGTCGAGAGTGGTGTCCCCCAGGGTTCAGTACTGGGACCCATTTTGTTCCTTCTATACGTGGACGATGCCGCAAGAGCTTAAGACTGCGAAGTAGCAATGTTTGCCCATGACATAAAGATATGGTGTGTAATTCGAGGTCCTGCCGACGAAGTCTGACTGCAGATGAATCTGAATCGGTTGGAGTAGTGGTCAAACCGTTGGCTCCTGCGGTTCAACGTCGCCAAATGTAGCATACTTCGTCTAGGCAACACAAAAAGATCCGCCAGCACAAGAGACTACTTTCTGGGCGGTGCAGCCTTAAAAGAGGTCGAAGACCAAAAGGACCTCGGTGTGCTGACAACCAGTTCCCTAAAGCCATCCGCCCACTGCTCGAGAGTGGCAAAAACCGCAATGTCCGTACTGTACGCCATCAAGCGTGCGTTTATGGACTTTGACGAAGATGTCTTCTCAAAGACATTCGGAACATTCGTCCGACCGCATTTGGAGTACGGCATACAAGGCTGGAGGCCGTGGGCGGTGGAGGATCAAAATTGCCTTGAAAGAGTCGAGAGGAGAGCCGCGAAGATGGTTATGGTTCCAAGCTCCTTCCCTTATGCAACCCGCCTAGTAAATGCAAACCTCTTTCCCTTGAGTTACAGGCAACTTCGCGGGGATCTCTTGCAAGCCTTCCGCATTGTAAAGGGTATGGGCTGCAGTCTGGCCTTCGAGGAGTTTTATGAATTTGCTACCACGACCAAACTCCAAGGACACCCGGCAAAACTGCGCACTCAGCAGGCAAGGCTGGATGTGCGGAATTTCTCCTTCTCTGTTCGAGTAATCAAACCATGGAATGCCCTTCCCGCAGATGTTGTGATGTCACCATCTATGCAAAGTTTTAAGAAGAATCTGGACATATGTATGTTCCGAAAAGAACAAGAGCGGTGAGAAGTAGAGCTCACCCCTTTTAACTCGTTTTCTTTCGTCCAACCATTATGGGTGTTTTTGAACTATTTAATCCCAGAACATTTATCTGTATACCACACATTTTTACGTTGCAAATAGGGTACTCAAAGGCTTATGCCTATTTCCCTTAATAAAGTGAACTGAACTGAACTGAACTGTACACTTGGACGATGAAAGCTCCATCTGCCATATTGAAGTCCATTTCCATAAGCGTAGTAAATCGGCATTAATTTTTTTCAATACAAACATTTTTGGTGTGCATAGAATATGAGTAAACACCCTTGAGGTCATCGGCATAAGTAAAAGTTTGTGAATTTCTGAGTTCAATGGAAATATCGTTGATGTAAAGAAGGAAAATTAGCAGATCCAGTACGTAGAATGCGTACTTGCAGGTCGCGCGAACTTGGCTGACGAGATAACTTGTGTGTGTTTGAATTTTCTAATCTAGTGTGTCGTCTGCATTGGTGTGCGGCGATGAGCGTACGCGGTATAAATTTTCCCGACCTGCCTAGTGAATTCTGTCAGGAGAGTGGTGTTAAGAATGCAACGAAGTGCGGCTTTTAGATGCATCACACACGTGTGTGTGGTGCATGATTGTTTTTTAAGGTGACACTAATCGCTCCGGAAGGTCTGGCTTTGAAATGTCTCGTATACATAAGAAAAAGAGTTAGAAAGACCTGCCCTCATTCCGTAGGCAGTGTTCGCACGATTTCAAGGTCTTGGAGAAGCAAATGCACAAGAAACTACCTCGACATCGTATAGCCTGTTCAGTCTTGGAGGGGTCGACCGCGATCTGCCAGCCTACTCATGGTGACCTGAGTAAAAGACCGATGTCTACCGAAAAGACACTTTTGGCAGGGGCCGTTTTCAACTTGACAGCATGAACATGCGCCAAGAAGCACCACTTCAGGTTTGTAGCTTATCTACTATCGATTCATGGACTACACAGGCGCATGGACTGGCAAACGCAATACATAGTCAGCCAGGCATTAAAGTACGACTAGAGGTCAACATTTTAGAGCTCGTGAGTGATGATGAGGGCAGTATTTTGCTGTTTGATATTAATTTAATCTGTCAGTAACTCTACCGCCAGTCCAAGGCTGCCAAACACTACGTTATGCAAGGCGCGGTGTCAATGCAGGATAGTTCGTGTTGGTATCTAACAGAAAGGACATTCTCTTTTTAGTACTCGCCGCTTAGTGAAAGAGATCCGTCTTCGCGACGAAAACCATCAGCGATACTCGGGGAAAATAAGAATGTGCAGGCACTGTTTACCAAGCATATTCTTGCTAGCCTCCTCTAACCGTTTCTGTAAACCTATGGGGCTTTGCGTGGGTCTGTCTGATCGAGTCGGCCGAACAGATCTCACTTTTTGCCTCTCTGTACTCACACAATAAAGAGGTTCATGTTTGGCGCTATAACGCCGGATTTATGTTAGGTTAGGTTGTAATCGTTACACGGTCCCGAAGTATGTCTGTCCACATAGGGACACGAGTTTAAGGTCTTGGAGACAAACAAAGTCACAAGAAACTACATCGACACCACATAGACTGTCCTGTCTTGGAGGGGTCGACCGCGATCTGCCAGCCTACAGACAGCCTACACAGTTTTCTGACAGACATAGCTGAGCAGCCTGATTGCACGTGTCACACACAACATGTTCCCCACGGCACGTACGAGGTCTTCACATGGGCACCTGGATCTCATACATCTAAGTGTCTTAAGGGCCGTATTAAGAAGGTGATACTGAACATGACTCTCAGTCATCCCTCTAGGGTTTGCAGACACGAACGGCGAAATAAACTGTGTGTACCGCAGTATGGCGTTCGCACTGAGAGTACTTGGCGCGTGAATTATTTTACACTGACAGTGGACCTAAGCAACACCTGCCGCGTCCCCACCTGCCGCACACACCTAAGCCTGGTACCAAGACGTAGCCGAAAAGACCGGAGGAGGCTGATGAAGCAAATCAGCTTGTCTGCGCGTGTCACGGACACCTGATCTGCCCAAGATGGGCCTGGTTTTTTTGCAAAAAACAGGGAGGGGACGCCCGGATTCCAGCATAGTGAGAGTACCATAGAGGCCGCGTAAAGAAGGGGCCTTTACAACCTAAACCCACTTCCCGAGAAGAGGATTGATTTACTCCGTCAATTGATAGCACTCCAAACCGCGGCTTTCAGCGCACCCTGATAGTTTAGTTGCGCGTCAAATTCTCCATTGTGAGAAATTTATGCAAACTACCGTGGGACGGAGTCCCCTAAGTAAAACTCACTTCCTTTTGCCTCTCACAAGCATCAGTCCGTTGTCCGAGCGGGTCCGCCACCTAGAGCGAAGACTGGTCTCAGGTGGCTTGCTTTGGGTGCTCCAGCGCCCAGGCGTACCACAACACCCCCTATGTCTGGCAGCCGTCGTGGGTGCACAGGCAAAGAGCGCGCCCCGTATCCAGATTTGGCCCCTGTGCTGTCTCAGCGCAATTCCCCTGTGGCCATTTGTTGGAGACACAGTTAACCGCACACGTGGCGGTTCGACCTCTGTGACCGATGATGGTCGTCATGTGCCCCGCGAAGTGGTGGACGTATGTGACTTCGGAATGT